GGAACTGCACTCGGGAGGACCCTGGCCTCGTGGTTCCCCTGGGCCCCGCTCACAAATTCACCGTTTATAGGTGTACTTCGGAACCTCACACAGTGGGGCCAGACCGGGAGCTTGGGCACAACCAGACGGGCGAAAACAGATACTGGCCGGGATCGCAGAAACACGAGCAGGAGAAAGCTGGCCTGAGACCCGGACGGCCTCGCGGTCCCGCTTAGCGGGTTAGGTGCAAGACTGTTACCAGCAGTGCACGAAGATGCGCTGGTGCCCAGGAGCGTTAGCAAACTGGCCAGTGCAGACGCCTGCGCACCACGCTGGTAGAGCGTTTCGGGTGGGTATCGCCTAGGGTAACTTCCCGTGCAGTGAAGGACTTGTGGATTCGGCTCCTGCTGCCGGCACATGGCTGTGCAAAGTAGTATTTCCACTCTACAAGAGTGGAAAATAGTCTGTTCATCGAAAGGAAGTTTAGAAGGGGTTTTCACAGAAAGATGCAAACATCCATAGTATTTTATCACAGTAGAATCTTTGTTTGCTATTTTTGTGATAGTATTAGATATTTTGAACTGAGAAGTTTGGGGCAGCTCAGAAAGGATTAAGGCAGGGTAGGAGTACTTAGGCAGAGTCAGACTGTGTAAGCGGGAGCTGAAACACTACAGTCCCTAAGAAGCCAGTGCTGGTTTTCCATCCTCGCTGAAGGGAGAAGGGGAGCAGGTTGATGAGTGATTGCTCTTAGAGGGGAGGATGCAGTCACCTCTGGGGGTTTAGAATGCCAGAATTCAGTCTTACCTTCAGGCCTGCCTGGGGACATTTAATTAAGCCACTTACAGACATCCTGGATGTAAAACTGTTTTTGCTTGGTGGGGATCATTCCTGTTGGGTTTAGCTGTGTTGTGTGTGAAAACAAGTTTTCTTCTGCGCTTCCTCACATTCAGGTTGGGTATGCTGCCATCTCTGGGCACGTGCCCTGGGTGTTGGGTTGGCGTCTTTCCGCATCAGGCCGAGCCGACTCCTCTGCCTGGGTCGCACGGCACACACCCGGATGGCGTAGCGGTGGCAATGTGTTATTTACAAACAGTGCACCAAGTCAGGTTCTGTGAGAGCAGTCTTTCCAGCATTGCCTTAACTGGGGCTTTTCAAGTTAAGGGAAACGGGGCCACCCCGTCCCTGTGGGCTGCGTTTCTGGGACAGCCGAACACGTCCCCTGGCCCAGACGCAGACTGGCCTCTGAGCCCGGAGGCCCACTTGAGCCACGTGTGAAAGCGCCTTGCAGTGGACGTGAAGCCACTTACTTCGCTGTTGCCTGGTATGCACCGGTGCCCTCCCGGCTGCCGTGTGAGCGGCCAGCTCCAGAACCTGCTGCCCCTCCATCCCCACACCCGACTTCGCGGAATCTGCCCCAGCAGCGCCTGGGCTGGGAATTCAAGTTCTGGCCCAGCTGGTGTTCCTTGAACACAGACATTTTCTTCTGCTCTGACTTGGATGTATCTCACCTTAGTCTTCTGACTGATAGTAGATGTCGATTTCCCTGCGGGGCCAGCCGACGGCATGGTAGTTGGGGCGGCTGGATCCTACATGGCTGACTTTGCAGTTTGAGCCCTGGACCCTTGGTTAGAAAAACACACCAAGCGCTTGCTGAAAAATCTCGAGGAGGGTCGAGGGAGGCCTGGCCACCCTCTTGGAGGTGACTCTCACTTCTCTCCCACTCTGTCTCTGTCTCTCTCAGGTGAGCACATAGGCCCTAGCAAACAAACAAGAAATCTCCCCTGGGGGTGGGGTGGGGAGGAGCCTCCTGTCCTTCCTAGTTTCCCAGGAATGGCCTGACCCCTAAGAATGACAGTGACTGGGAACCAGCAGGTGGCATGGTCGTTAAGGCGCTGGACACTCTCACATCGCTAATCACGGTTTGAGTCCTGGACCTGGTGGCTTTCTTTCTCACCCCCCTCCCCATCTCTCTGGTCAAATTAAAATAAATCAATGAATAAATAAAACTAAATCAATCTTAAAAAAAAAAAAAAGACAGTGATTAAAAATCTCTCAGGGGCCAGCAGTTGGCGTAATGGCTATGGTGCTGAACTCCCATATAGTCGACCATGGTTTGAGTCCCAGACCCGGTGGCTTAATCTCATGCCAGGTGCATGTGCGTGTGTGCCCGAGATCCCGAGAGGAGAACGGAGGAGAAGGGATTGCAGCGTGGCCATCCCCCCTGGGGGGGGGTGATTTCTCCCTTCCTGTGTCTCTGTCTCCCTCTTTCTGGTCAGTGCACTTGCCCTAGAGCAAAAACCTTAAAAAAACCAAACTCTCCAGGGCTCTTCTGTCCTAGGCCGGTGGCTGTTTTGGAGAAGGCTGGTTCTGGCTGGGGCCGTGTGCAGTGTGCTGAGGTCGTAGATGGGGGGGGCAGTGGGCGGTTGTCCCTCACTGGAGCATGCTCTCTGCCTGCTGCACGCATGCACGCAGCAGGGCCTGGCGTCCCGCTTTGTAAGGCATGCCCTAGATGAAAGGAAAGGGCCTTTTCTAACAGGTGCACACAGGATGCTCTGCTAGAGTAACGCAGGGACCAGCAGATGGCATAATGGTTATGTCGCTGGACTCCCGCGTTGTTGACCACGGTTCGAATATCAGACCCTGCAGCTGAAAACTCACTCTGGGTGTGTGTGCGTGCATGCCCAAAATCCCGAGGAGAATGGAGGACAAGGGACTGCGGCCTGGCTGTCCCCCCTGGGGGTGACTTCTCACTTTCTGTGTCTCTGTCCCCGTCTCTCCAGCGAGCACACGAGCCCCATAGCAAGAAATCTCTAACACAATGAATAAATAAAGGAGAAAGCAAAGTCTGCTCTACTGCATGGTTTATGCAGCTTCCTGTTTGTTGAATAGGAAAATAGGCATTTAACTCTAATTTACATTTAAAACTAGTAACTGTTTAAACGTCATTATTTAGATTAAAAAATCCCTAACCTAGGAGGTTTAGAGTAGAAAGTTGAGAAACAGTACCTTTTCAGCAGTATTTAGCTTTTGTATTTTGACAGAAGTGTTTTTGAGCCTTTTCAGAGAGCTGTCCCAGGGTTTTCTCACTCACGTGGCTTCGGCTGCTGAGAGCTTGCCGTGGGCTGGGCCTTTGGGGTTCCCACAGCAGAGCGCTGGTGGCAGAGATGGGGAGAGGGGACACAGGCCACCGACGTGACCCTGTGGTGAGGAAGGCTGAGAAGCTGGCCTGCGAGCTTGGAGGACAGGGTGGGGGGACAGAGGCGGGGCGTGCACAGGGGCCCCGTCCCCACCGCCCCCACGGCGCCTGGACAGGCAGTGTGCTGTGTGTGTGCTGGGGACGGTCGCTGGGACGGCGGGCTGGAAGGGACACGCAGGAGCCCTGGCGGTGACTCCAGGACAGACAAGAGCGCCGCGTCTGTGGAGGGCCCAGCAGTGCAGTCCCCACTCCTGCTCCTGTGTCCTAGGCTCGTCCTGCTTCCCTCTCAGCAGGAGAGAGGGCGGGAGAGAGCAAGAGAGAGGGGGAGAGACAGGGAGAGCGAGGGGGGGAGAGAGAGACAGGGAGAGAGGGAGAGAGGGAGGGAGAGAGCAAGAGAGAGGGGGAGAGACAGAGAGAGAGGAAAGAGGGAGGGAGAGAGCAAGAGAGGGGGAGAGAGAGAGGGCGAGGGGGGAAGACAGAGAGAGCGAGGGGGGCAGAGAGGGGGAGAGACAGAGAGGGCGAGAGACAGAGAGCGAGGGGGGCAGAGAGAGGGGGAGAGACAGAGAGAGAGGGGGAGAGACAGAGAGAGGGGGAGAGACAGAGAGAGTGAGGGGGGGAGAGAGGGGGAGAGACAGAGCGAGGAGGGGTGAGAGAGAGAGAGACAGAGAGAGAGGGAGAGAGAGAGCAAGAGAGGGGGGAGAGACAGAGAGAGAGAGGGCGAGAGAGCGAGAGAGAGAGGAAGGGAGAGAGAGGGGAAGTGAGAAAGCAAGCCACCATGTCCGGGACTCGAACCACGGTTGGCCCGGTGGGAGTCCAGCACCTTAACCACCATGCCACCTGCTGCCCACAGATTCTTCTGTTTTCTTTGGAAGGTGTTTTGTTTTCCTGTTGTTTCATTTCTCTCTTTGCAACTACTTTGGAGAAAGTGACAGAAGCCCGCCCTCAGTTGATGTGGCGTGTGCCTTGGGCTCCACGGTGTTTATGAACCTGTCACCATTAGAGGTGGCTAGGCCAGGCAGTGTGTCCACGTGACTGGGCCAGCCGTCCTCTTAGCGTGGTCACTGGCAGATGGTCTGACCTGTGGTCTTCAGGACACCTCTTTTTTTACTAGTTTTTTTTTTTTTTTTTTAAAGGTTTTTT